GATTCAAAATAGAACACATGGAGAAATGAACTGCATCAGATAGTTTACTCCATATATTTACAGACTGCAAATCAGGTTTTTTAAGAGGTTGAGATGTAATCAGCTCCCTTGAGGTGATTCAAACTCAGTTTAACTTAGCTGTAAATTAGCCTGCAAATGCATAAATGTATTCGGTGAGTGCATTTGTCCTTCATCTTATACCAGGGGTCCCCAAACTTTGCAGCTTTAAGACTTGTGGACTTCAACTCCCAGAATTCTCCAGCCAGCTATGCTATGCAAAGTTTGAAGACCTCTGTGTTATACGATAGAGATTTAACTTCAAAGAACCTGGGGAATTCAGATTTAGAGCAAAGGAAAGCACCTATAATTGAATAGGTATTTTCCAAGGGTACTTTGTTGGGTATAGCTACATACCAAATTGACAATTTTATTTTTTAAAAAGCCCTTATTCATACTCCTAAAAAACTCGCGTCATTCTGAATTATTCTTCAGTATCGAATCCCAGTTACGTATAGCTTAGATTCATGATTCATAAGGCTGAAACTTAAATGGTCGCATCCTGGTTTGCTAGATTATAGTAATCGTGACCTGCTATTTCCAAATTCTTTTTTAATTTTTTTTTCTTAAAACGATCCAAAAGAGCAGCAGGAAAACTACAAAAGAGGGCAGGGTTAATTACAGTGAAGAAGAGATAGGTTAGAAAGTTCAACGTTTTTACTTCTTTCACATGGAAGTTGGATTTTTTTAAATACTGAATTTGCATAATTTCAACTTTAGGTTGGTAGTTTCAGTTTATCAGTGTTGTCGTTTTAATTCATGAGACGGGTTAAGAAGGGATTCTCGCCTTGTAAAGCCAACATAGATGTTCTGAGATTTATTGAAATTGGTATGTATAATTAAATATTAAGTGGTTTACCAAGATGTGTTCTATCCTAAGAAGTTGTGTGATTTTCTTTTTGGTTTCCATCCACCTCCATCTGCTTTTTTCATTCATTTCTTCTAAGAGATTCACTTTTACTTTTTAGCCTAAGGCAGTGCTTCTCAGACCTGGATAAATTACCCCAAATTGGGTAAAAGAGTTTTTTTGAGTATCAATGCATGTCATCCAAATCCAATTACAATGGGTATGTTTAAATAAAAGTATTTTCTGATGTATGTAATGGATCATGAAGTAAAAGTTTTGGGAAGCCCTAGCCTAAGCCCTAGTCTATCTTAGTCTGCCAGTAGTATATATCTACCAGTTCACAAATGTGAGTGCACGCATGCACAGAGCTTCCGTGATGATGTCTGGGTGGGTGGGCGGAGCCATCTGCCGCTACTGCTACCAGTTCTCCCGAACTGGTAGCAGCAGGTAGAACTGGTAGAAACCCACCACTGATACATGCCCTTCCTTCAGCAACTCTGCCTTCTTCTCTCAGCTATGTTTTCCTTTCATTATGCCACATAAAATTATACACTGAAATTCTCAGCCTATCATCGCCAATTGAAGTTATTTCTTTCCTTCCAAATCTATTTTTTGCAGGGGTCCTTGGTGCTTGCTGAGCTAGGCAATTTTCTTGCAGACATTTTATTACCCAACTAGGTAATGTCATCAGTGCTAGAACGGAATGGGGTTTGCTCACTCCCCATTCCCTTCTAGTATTAATGATGTTACCTTGTTGGGTAATGAAACATCTTCAGGAAAACAACCAAGCTCAGAGAGCAGTAAAGACCCCTAGTTCAACCCTGAGTTACATATATCATCTTTTACTGGTAAGATGCATTGTTTGTCAATATCATATTACCATTACTTCTAACTGTTGAAGAAGTTAGAACAGTGGTGGGTTGCTCCCGGTTCAGTCCGGTTCTTGCAAACCAGTAGTAATGGCGGCGGGAGGCTCCGCCCACCTGCCTGGACATCATCATGAATGATCTGAACATGTGCAGAAGCTTCTGAGCATGTGCACGCTCCCGTTGCAAACTGGTAGCGGAGGTAAGCGGAACCCACCCCTGAGTTAGAACCACCACAAATATTCCATTCTAATGCAGCTCACCAAGTATGTCCTTGGACAGAGTCTTTTTAGCAGTTTAACAGACAAAACACCACAATTTATTGTAGGTTTCTAATCAGAAAGTATGATCAGGGAGGGGGATTGGAATGGGATTGGCTGCTTGCCCTAATAGGGCAGCAATCAATCACTGATTCTTCTCACTTACAGTATTTCTTCCCATGCTAAAGATAATTCTTTGAAAAATCCTCATTTTAGGGTAACTAGGAAGCTCAAGCACTTCCTCGATCATTCAGAGTGAAATGAAAGATCAACCAATGATGATTTCTCCCAGATAGCACTTAGCAATAGCACTTAGACTTATATATCGCTTCATAGTGCTTTACTGCCCTCTCTAAGCGGTTTACAGAGTCAGCATATTGCTCCCAGCAATCTGGGTCCTCATTTTACCCACCTCAGAAGGACGGAAGGCTGAGTCAACCTTGAGCCTGGTGAGATCTGAAGTACCAAATTGCAGGCATATGGCAGGCAGCAGAAGTAGCCTGCATTCTAACCACCGCGCCACTATGGCTCAGATAAGGCATGTTAAATAGGAAATTTTAAAAAAAGAATTATGCTAGATTGTCCCAAAGGCATTTTTTCAAAAGGCAACTGGACTTTCTTGATTGTTTTCCTTGAAAATATTTTGTTTTTCATCCAAGAAGCTTCTTCAGTTCTGAAAGAAAAGTGTGGTGGCTCACCTGATTAGAACATGGAGTTGACAATCTCCAAGCCTGTGTTTGAGACCCAAGTGCTGCTGTGTGCTGGGGTGAGCTCTCCTCATTCGCTCCAACTCCTGCTAGCCTAGCAGTTTGAAAGCATGCCAACGCGAGTAGATAAATAGGTACCACTTCCATAGGCACATTAAAAGGGACATGAAAGGAGCTCCCAACGGGGCATTCCCTGGGCAATGGTGATGTCATCGGCTAATCCTTTCAACCCTGCAGCACCTTGGTATTTCTGACATGAATGTGAGTGCAGAAGAAGAGTTCTGAAGAAGCTTCTTGGATGAGAAGCAAAAGGTTTTCAAGGAAAAACCCCAAGAAAGTGTAGTTGCTTTTTGAAAAGAATCTTTGGGACAACCATGACCTGAATGATTGAGAATTTCCATAGACAATTGTGCTAAATGTTAAGTTCTGATTGAAGGAGGTTTCTTGCTTTATCTTTCTTACTTTCTAAATACATGCAAGATCATTGGCAGGGGTATTTGCATTGTTGTTGTTGTTTTTTGTAGGAAATAACAGTATTTGTACCTTTCTAGCCTAATGTTAGGAAGAATGTGAAATAATAGTAAGGTTTCATTCCCTGCCTCCGTCACCTCAAAAAGTATACTATCGGAAGGAAGGAAGGAAGGAAGGAAGGAAGGAAGGAAGGAAGGAAGGAAGGAAGGAAAGATATCACAGGGATAAAAAAAAGGGGGCCCATCATTATATAATTCAGATCAAATGTGGAAGCCATGTTTCACTACTCTTATTATTCAGTGTAGTAGTTGTTTGTTTGTTTTAACTGCCTGGAAATTCAGAGTCTATTATCAGGCAAGCTGTTTTGGTAAATGGTGATTTTAATGCCAAGCCCCACAAGGCATAAAATTAGTTGGATTAACAACTTAAGTGACATGCTGTCAGTTGCTGTTTATTTAAATTAAAATGTCACTGCTCAAAAGTAAATCAGGTACATAGAAAGCTGTGGATTGCTGTCACCCGTGGATTATAAAATTATTTGTCCTGTGTCACTTTCTAGGAGATAAGGGTGTATTATATCATTCAACACACTCCAGCATTATGGGTCTTCCTGAATGATGGTCACTATAGACATTTGGTGAGTGTTTGCAGGGCCATCTGATCAAACAACTCATCTGGAAAGGACAATTTTCTCTATCACTTATGTTGAACATGAACTTCTATCATTCCAAGGCAGTGGCAGTCTTAAAGTGATGGGATTAGGAATCTAACACACCAGAGAATTCCAAGATGGGAAAAGGGTTATAGAGTTTATTTATTAGATTTATATTCTGGCTTTCCTCTAGGACAGTGGTGGCTAATCTTTTCTGGACCGAGTGCCCAAAACAAGCAAGCACATTTGCGTGTGGGCCCGTACCCCCAAAATGCAATGTGAGTGCATGCATGTGCCCCACCCCATGCCCACGTGCCCCCCTGCATGCCCTCCCTGCATATGCAGCACAGGCCCGACGACAAGCTGGCCTGAGGGAGGCGCGCATGCATGGGCGGCGGAGACGAACTGGGGCGATGGCTCACGCCTACAGAGGGGGCACTGCGTGCCACCTGTGGCACACTTGCTATAGGTTTGCCATCATGGCTCTAGGATCTTTAGATGGCTTATAGAGTAATCACTTCCCCAAGCTTTTCACAAGTCCTCTGTGGGATAGGGTAGGGAACTAAAGTCACCCTGCTCAGCTTTCCTGATTGAAGGATGAACCTTGGATTTCTCAAGTCCAAGATCCTCAGGTCCATACCTTTTAACCATACACTCTTCCACATTGGCCCAAAGGTGCTTTTTCAAAACTGGACTTTCCTTGTTTTTCCTTGAAGAAGTTTCGCTTCTCAACCAAGAAACTTCTACAGTTCAGAAGTTATGTCAGAACTGAAGAAGCTTGAGAAGTGAAACATCTTCAAGGAAAAACAACGAAAGTCCAGTTGCCTTTTGAAAAAAGCAACTTTTCGGCAACCATGGCCTGGATGACTGAGAATCCCCATAGGTATTTCACATTGGCTCTCTATACCGTTGAGTGACACAAATGGTCAAGACTTGCTGTTACCAAATAGAGGATAATTTTGAATGGAATAGGGCCAGTTTCACATCACACCAGTTCAACAGACAGGCAATCAAGAGATGAGAGATAGAGAGAGAGAGAGGGAGGGAGGGAGGGAGGGAGGGAGGGGGAGAGAGAGAGAGAGAGAGAGAGAGAGAGAGAGAGAGAGAGAGAGAGAGAGAGGAGAACCAAGGCATATTTACTTTTCCAGTTTTTCCATTTTCGCATAAATAGGCTTCATTCCCGGATACAAGTTCTGGAGCGTTGTCATTTACATCAAGAACTTTGATAGCAACAGGTACTCGAGATATTTGACTAGGATTTCCTAAGAGAAGAAAAACACAGCAGAGGGGAGGACAAAAAGAAAAAAGAAAAGAGAAAGGTAAGCACACTTCATACCATACTACTAATGAGAACCAGGGCCCAAGGTAGATATACTTTTTTTTTTTTTTTTTTTTGGTGCTGAAACTCAATGAACCTTTTCTAGTTCTAATAATTGGGCTGATTGATTCCAAATTGGAGGGAGAAGGAAATGACGATAAAGAAAAGGCTAGTATTTAACAAAGGAGAGAGAAAGAGAGAGAGCAAATAAATCACTACTGAAAACAGCTTTTGCTGGAGATTAGGTTGATGAAGATCCTGGATTAAATTGGTAGATGACTTCTTCCTGATGAAGTTTGCGTTGTTTTATTGATAAAGGGCATTGTGCATGGAGGAAGAGAGGCTGTAAGCAACCAAGATTTATTTTCATTCTTATCTTTCTCGTTTTACTCTAGTCACCAACCCGACTGCACGTCTATTATTTCAACTTAGTGAAAAGGAAAGGGGAAAAGGAAAGGTGGGAGGGAGGGAGGGAGAAGAGGGTAGAGAGAGGGAGAGAGAGAGAAAGGGAGAGGGAGAGAGGGAGAGAAAGGGAGAGGGGGAGAGGGGGAGAGAGAAAGGGAGAGAGAGGGGAGAGAGAGAAAGGGAGAGAGAGAGAGAGAGAAAGGGAGAGAGAGAGAGAAGGGTAAAAAAAATCCATCAGAAGGGTTCTAAAACATGGATAGTATAAATAATAGAAGTCGAGGGGAATCATTAAAAAGAAAAGGACAAAGAATATCTCCTACTTATTCAAGGTAGTCAGAATATTCTCGGGTTGATTTATTTGATACAGAAGTAGGCTTTTGAACTCATGAAAATTATGCAAAGAAGGGGCAAAAGTCTGGCTCACATTTATAACTACAATTTATCATACTTTTCTTAATTCATTTCCTGGTTCCTATGTGTATTCACTTACATATATCTCCTGTTTTGTTTCATACAGTTAAGTTTCAAAACAGAGACCACCTAATCAGTTTGTTTTAGTTTATTATTGTTGTTTATAAATAACATTTGGGGTCATTTGAAAAATCAGGCTTTGAAGGTGACATTTTGCTGAAGATAGAATAGAGTGATATACATTTGCTCCACATATTTGGGTGCAAGTTAAGGCTGTGTTGTGCAATTCCATAAGAATAAACCAGCCAGCCTTTGTCAGTATGTCAACAGGGGTGAAATCCAGCAGGTTCTGACAGGTTCTGGAGAACCAGTAGAGGAAATTTTGAGTAGTTCGGAGAACCGGCAAATACCACCTCTGGCTGGCCCCAGAGTGGGGAGGGAATGGAGATTTTGCAATATCCTTCCCCCAGGAATGGGGTGGATATGGGGATTTTGCAGTATCCTTCCCCCAGGAGTGGGGAGGGAATGGAGATTTTGCAGTATCCTTCCCCTGCCACGGCCACCAAGCCACACCACGCCCACAAAGCCACACCCACAGAACTGGTAGTAAAAAAAATTGAATTTCACCACTGATGTCAATTGCTTACTAGCTGCCAGAAACTATATAAAGAACAACAGTGAGAATCACTTTGTCATTCACCGATATATGGTCTACATCGAACACGAAAAAAATAATGTACATTTTTATCAGGGTGAGATTCGGTTACATGCAAGCTGAACATTCAGAACATCACAAATATGCTCAAACACACACACACACACACACACACACACACACACACAGAGCATTGAATTTTCAGTGCCAAGTGTCAGATTTAAGCACTCAAGATTTCCTTTTATCTAAATTAACAGAACAATGGCAGTTCAAATTTTAGAGAGGTTATACTGAAATGCAATTAATTAGATAAGCTTCTGAAGAAATTATTTATGCCTCTTGTGGCTGGTCCCAAATGTTTGTCTTTCATCTGAACCACAAACATGAAACCTACAGTTATTTTTCTTAGAAACTGGAAAATGATTCATTAAACAATCTATATAATTTGCTAAACTCACCAGAGAGAAACTTATTGAGTGCAGAAATTGTCAAGATGGACACACCAAGATGATTACTTAAGAAACAGCTGAAAATTGATTTTTTTAAATTTGTTTGTTCCTTTTGCTCATGAAAATTTGAGTCATTGCTGCCTGATATGTTACCTAGCATGGGAGGATCTAAGTCTAAGTTTTGTTCATGAAATACAATTATTATTTTTTAATTTCAGAGTGGAAGATCATCAGAAACACTACACTGAATGTCCTCCCATGATAAGAAGTTGTAAGATGCTACCTAGAACTAGTCCTTTCAATGCTAGACTTCTGATTTGTTAATGTCACCCCTGATTTATATTCAGAGTTGAGCTGATTGTCTTTTTGGTGTTAGTTAAATTTATTTTATTTTTCTCGGACAGTTTAATCAATGCATGAACTAATTTTAAGCATGCATACTGCTTAGAAACTTCTCAACTACTCTAGGTCTTGCTTGCAAAGGTTGTGCCATGTATTTTAATTAGGATATTTAATTGTGCATTTGTATCAGGAATTTTTTAATATATATTTATATATGGTTTAGTACGTCATGAGCTACTCCTGGAAAAAAAAAAATGAAAACCTGGTTTTGAAGGAAGGAATACAGTTTTTAAACATCAACAAATAAGAATGTAAATGAAGAAAACGTCCATGATGGATTAGTCCTATCTAAACCTCGTTAATGCCAAGCTGTCTTCTCATGTCACATGTGTTAGAATTTTGTATTGTACAGCATCTGAACAAATGTGATATAGTGAGTGGTACTGTGAGGTGAATATTTAGATCCTCAATAATCGAAGAATGGAGCTAGCCCATCATGTTAGCACTTAGATAAAATAATTGGACTGATAAGTAAGAATGAAAAGGAGAGTGCTGCATGGGGTAATAACTTGGATGATAGCAGAGAGGTTTTCATCTACACACTCCCAGATAAACAAGGTGGCACACAGAGCCATATCGGTGGGCATGTGCGAGCGTTGCCCCAGCTCAGTTCCAGCTAATTTTTGGGCATTCCAGGCCCTCTGGAAATTGGGAAACAGGCTCCAGAGGGCCTCTGGGGTGGGGGGTGGGGAAGACCCATTTTTCACTCTCCCCAGGTTCTAGAAGCTTTCTAGGAGCCTGGGGAGGGTGAAAATGGCCTCCACCCCCGGAGGTCCTCCGGAGGCCAGAAATGGCCTGTTTCCTTACTTCCAGTCCCACCAGCAAACGGGCCCTTTCCAGCCTCTGGAGGACCTCCGGGGGGATGGGGTGGGGAAGGCTGTTTTTGCCCTCCCCAGGCTCCAAGAAAGCCTCTGGGCTAATCCAAGAAAGCCTACTGGGCCCACTGTGCCATTGCATGCCAAAAGCGGGGGGAGCACAGGGGGGTCGTGCGTGCATGCACAGGGGGGTGGGGCACATTTAATTATGGGTGTGGGCATCCGTGCATGTGACATTCCCCCATTCCCCCAGCACACGACTGGCAAAAGATTAGCCATCACTGATCTATAGGGTCCTTCAGGAGAACAACAAACTTTTTATACCATTCCTGATCTGTATCCTCATCATGCTACCTAGCTGCATTGGCATTATGTAAATCAGCCTCTACAGCCGATGGACAAGCAGCAAAAATTCAATAGGTCACCCTCAGCCTTGTGCAATACCACCTCCTTTGGCAGTGCCCAGCAGCAATAGAACCTACGGTATACTATATAATTAAACTGACAGCTACAACACGATATTTAATACAAAATCCTGGATTGCTCTTACAGCAAGAACTCCTTTTAAGAAGAGATTGGACAACCATGTGTCTGAAAGGGTATAGGATTTTCTGCTTGAGCAGGGGGTTGAACGAGAGGGCCTTCAACTCTGTTACCGTATTTTTCGGAGTATAAGACGCACCGGAGTATAAGACGCACCTAACTTTTTTGGTGAAGAAAAGAAGAAAAAGAAATCTGCCTCTGCCTCTCAGCAATTTTGGATGGGCGAGGCTACATTTGGTGTATAAGACGCACCTAAATTTTCACCCCTTTTTTGGGGGGGGGGAAGGTGAGTCTTATACTCCAAAAAATACGGTATTTTGTTAAGCAGTCTAAGCCATTGTTATCATTGCAACCCAGGTAGCAGCATACAGTATATAACTAGGAGGTTTTGTGCAACAGCATGGAAGTTTCATCAAACCCTGGTGGGCCAATTTTCTTCAATGTATTCTATGTTATTACAATTCACTTACGTGTTAGTTATTATTACTTTGTTGTAATTTATCACATTTAATAGAATTTTAGTATTTACATCATACTGGTACTTTAATGCAGGCTGCCTCCTAGACCCTCTAGATATCAATTAGGTTGTTTTACACACATATTTTAACTCTGCCTTAAACTTTATTTGATCATCCATTAATATAGAACTACAAATTTTTAAGAAGAGGTTGGATAACCATTTGTTTGAAGTGGTGCAGGGTTTCCTGCCTGGGCAGGGGGTTGGACTAGAAGACCTCCAAGGTCCCTTCCACCTCTGTTATTCCTTTCTATTCTATAGTACATTCATTCATTTGTTTGTTTGTTCATTCATTAATTTACAGAATACTCTGCTTGTACTGGACTATGGCTGCAATAAACTGAATAAGCTATTGCTGAGCACATTGTAAGCCGCCCTGAGTCTTCGGAGAAGGGCGGCATATAAATCAAATTAAAAATCACCGCCCTGAGTCCTATTCTGGAGAAGGGCAGTATAGAAATTTAAATAATAAATAAATAAATAAATAAATAAATAATAAATAAGCCCAGATGGTACTTAGATCCATGTCCAGATTGGAATGGCAGATTGCCCTATCTCTTCACCCTCAACTCCACAGTCCATTCTGGACTCTCCACTATACAAGAAGGATGCCACTGTATGGAACGCTTACACTTTCAGTCTCCACATTCCACCCCTGCACTTACATAGGATATCACCAGCTTCCATCTCATCCCTTCCAGCAATTTTCATTCCATACTCCTGGGAACTGATTCCATATTTCTCTCT